GGAAATTGAACACTGTAGGAAAATTAAAATTCTAGCTGTGAGGACGATCAAGTAAAATTGGGTATCTTCTAGAAAAGGTGTGTCTGTCTGTCTGTCTGTCTGTCTGTCTGTCTGTCTGTCTGTCTGTCTTCAGTTATCGTGTGTTCAAGTGTTGCTTTCTTATACAGTTATCATATTCCTTCTTGTTACCTGTCCATCTCTTTTCACCTGTCCATCTCTCTTTTTCACCTGTCCATCTCTCTTTTTCACCTGTCCATCTCTCTTTTCCTGTCCATCTCTCCTTTCACCTGTCCGTCTCTCTCTCTTCGTCTGATTCACCTCACTACCCACCACCTGACCCACCTTCAACTCTTTTGTACACATCCCTCTTCATCTTCAGAAGAGAGAGAGAGAGAGAGAGAGAGAGAGAGAGAGAGTGTGGACGGGAGGAGGAAGACCACCTACCACCATCACCACTACCAGTCACCACCACTATTATCACCACCACCATTATCACCATTACCACCATTATCACCACTACCACCACCATTACTACTACCAACCACCACCACTACCACCATCACCACTACCAACCACCACCACCACCATTATCACCACTACCATCATTATCACTACCACTCCAATCACCACCACTATTATCACCACCACCATTATCACCATTACCACCATTATCACCACTACCACCACCATCACTACTACCAACCACCACCACGACCACCATTATCACCACTACCTACTACTACCACACACACAAGGCGGCGGAGTGAAACGGGTTGGTGTGTGTGACTTATTTCGGTCATGCTCAGCCGACCCTGTAGAGAGAGAGAGAGAAGTAAATCATTCACCCAATCATTCAACCAGTGAGTCATGAGAAGCGTTCATAGGGCTGACTAACGCATCTGAATACTTTGATAGTAACCCAACAGTCGTAGTGCATGTCCAGTGAAAGTCCCTCCTCCCTCACTCTCCCTCCCCTCCCATCCTCCCCCTTCCTCCCCTCCACTCTCCCTCCTCTCCTCCCTCTCTCCCTCCTCCCCTCCACCTCCCTCCTCCTCCTCCCCCTCCTCCCCTCACCTCTCCCTCCTCCCCTCACTCTCCCTCCTCTCCTCACTCTCCTTCCTCCTCCTCCCCCTCCTCCCCTCACTCTCCCTCCTCCCTCCTCCCTCCTCTCCTCTCCTCCCTCCTCTCCTCTCCCTCCTCCCTCCTCCCCTTCCTCCCCTCCTCTCCCTCCTCTCCTCACTCTCCCTCCTCCTCCTCCTCTCCCCTCCTCTCTCTCCCTCCTCCCCTCCTCCCCTTCCTCCCCTCACTCCTCCTCCTCTCCTCCTCTCCCTCCTCTCCTCCCCCCACCTCCTCTCTTCTCTCTCCCTCCTCTCCTCCCCCTCCCTCCCCTCTCCCCTCCTCCCTCACTCTCCCTCCTCCCCTCCTCTCCCTCCTCCTCACTCCCCCCTCCTCCCTCACTCTCCCTCCTCCCTCACTCTCCCCACCTCCTCCCACTCTCCTCCCCTCACTCTCCCTCCTCCCCTCACTCTCCCTCCTCCCCTCACTGTCCCTCCTCTCCTCCTCTCCCTCCTCTCCTCCTCTCCCTTCACTCCCCTCCTACCCTCCTCTCCCTCCCCTCACTCTCCCTCCTCCCTCCTCCCCCTCCCTCCCCTCCTCCCCTCACTCTCCCTCCTCCCTCACTCTCCCTCCTCTCCTCCCCTCCTCTCCTCCCCTCTCCTCACTCTCCCTCCTCTCCCTCCTCTCCCCCTCCTCCCCTCCTCTCCCTCCTCCCTCACTCTCTCCACATCTTCCCTCACTCTCTCTGTTCTCTTCACTCTCTCCCACTCCACCTCTTCCCTCACTCTCCTTCTCTCCTCCCTCCTTCCTTCAATCTTTCTCTTTCCTCCTTTCATTCTGTCTCCCTCCTCTCCTCATCAATCTTTCTCTCCTCTCACCCCTTCGCTAACTATTTCCTGGCCCATTTAGCTTTTCTCTTTCTCTCCTTCTCCTTCTCCTTCCTTCCTTCCTTCCCTTACACACGCTCTCTCTCACCTCCTCCCTTCGCTCTCCTCTCCCTATTCACTCACTTCCCCTCATCACGTTCTTCATTATGCCCTCCTTATTCTCATTATCTCCCTTCCTTCCTTCCCTTTATCATCATCTCTTAGTTCACACACACACACACACACACACACACACACACACACACACACACACACACACACACACACACACACACACACACCTAAATCTATTTCTTCTAGAGTTTTTTTTCCGTCGTCGTCTGTCTGTCTGTCTGTATGACTGTCATGTGTCTACCTGTGTCTATATGCCTGTATGTCTGTGTGTCTGTCAATCTGAATACCTGTCTGTGTCTGTCTATTTTGTATGCCTGCCTGTTTGTCTGTCTGTCTCTGTATGGCATGTGTGTCTGTGTCTGTCTGTCTGTGCCTGTCTGTGCCTGTCTGTGCCTGTCTGTGCCTGTCTATCTGTCTGTGATCCCGTTCAGCCCCCGTCACACACATTTATTTACAAATAGTTTCAAGTAAACAAACACCTCACTTCTCTCCACCTCCTACCTCTCCCTCACCTCCTACCTCTCTCTCACACCTCCTACCTCTCCCTCACACCTCACTACCTCTCCCTCACACCTCACTCTCTCCCTCACCTCCTACCTGTCCCTCACACCTCACTACCTCTCCCTCACACCTCACTACCTGTCCCTCACACCTCCTCTCTCCTCACACCTCACTACCTCTCCCTCACCTCCTACCTGTCCTCACACCTCACTACCTCTCCCTCCACCTCACTACCTCTCCCTCACACCTCCCACTACCTCTCCCTCACACCTCACTACCTCTCCCTCACACCTCACTACCTCTCCCTTACACCTCCCTACCTCTCCCTCCCACACCTCCTACTTCCTCACACCACCACTACATACCACCACCACCTACATGCCACCAGCCACCACCGACATACCACCACCCACATACATCCCACCACCTACATACACACCAGCCACCACCTACATACAACCAACCACATACCACCACCCACCACCTCACATACCACCACCCACATGCCACCACCCACCACCTACATACCACCACCCACCACCTACATACCCACACCCACCACCTACCACAACCACCTACCACCTACATACCACCAGCCACCACCGACACCACCACCCACGCCACCACCACCACCTACATACACCACCCACACCTACATACCACCACACCACACCACCACCTACCACCTACATCAACCACCTACCACCTACATACCACCAGCACACCATACCACCAACCACATACCACCTACCAGGACACCATATTCCTCTAGAATGACAAGGCAAGGATTTCAATTCACAAGTTTCTCGCCTCCGTCTAAGTTGTTTGTCTCTTATTTATGTCAGAAAGTTTTACACAACACCTTGGTACAATAGTTTATGTTAGCTTTTCGTCAACACTTTTCCAGTTTGTGTCCCAAAGTTTTGTTAGATATAAAAGGAAAAAAAGACTGAGTTGCTGTTGTGTGTGTGTGTTTTATGTGTGTGTGTTTTGTGTGTGTGTTTGTGTGTGTGTGTGTGTGTTTGTGTGTGTGTGTTGTGTTTTGTGTGTGTGTGTGTGTGTTTTGTGTGTGTGTGTGTGTGTGTAATAATAATAATAATAATTAACAGTTTATTGAAAAGTTCTGCAGCGAAGGCTGAAAATATACTTGGACATAAATGACTTATTACATACATTGGTGGTTTAACAAAAGCCATTAGAAAATTGAAGGAACTACAGTGAACATACAGATTAATGTAGGTGTTGAACCTTAAACACGTAGTGTAGTAACTCCCTCCGAAATGGTGTTAGAGAGGGACCTCACGTCGTGTGTGTGTGTGTGTTTTTGTGTGTGTGTGTGTGTGTGTGTTTTGTGTGTGTGTGTGTGTGTGTGTGTGTGTGTTTTTGTGTGTGTGTGTGTGTGTGTGTGTGTGTGTGTGTGTGTGTGTGTGTGTGTGTGTTTTTTTGTGTGTGTGTGTGTGTGTGTGTGTGTGTGTTTTTGTGTGTGTGTGTGTTTTGTGTTATGTGTTTGGTTACAGTAGTACACAAGGTCAAAAGCAACATATTCTTATCTGGTGATGAACAAGATGGGCGCAACAAACCACCAAGTCAACACAGCTCATAGTTGACAGACAGGCGGACGGACAGATGGACGGACGGACGGACGGACAGACGGACGGACGGATGGATATTATGTAAATCAAATTGGCTCTATATATGCATTCCGGCAAGCTGTAGATGACTTACCGTGACAATAATTCATGTGGTCACGGCCTTCATCCAACCATCACACGAGGCAATAAAAATGTCGACTGGTTGAAGGTTTATCCACAAAGAAGAAAATATTACACTTCGATATTATTGGTGTGGCGGGTCGGTGGTGTCGCACGGTGGTGTGGCGGTCGGTGGTGTTGCGGGCCGGTGGTGTGGCGGGTCGGTGGTGTGGCTGGCCGGTGGTGTGGCGGGTCGGTGGTGGCGGGTCGGTGATGGCGCGCCGGTGGTGTGGCGGGTCGGTGGTGTGGCGGGTCGGTGGTGTGGCTGGCCGGTGGTGTGGCGGGTCGGTGGTGTGGCGGGTCGGATGTGGCGCGCCGGTGGTGTGGCGGGTCGGTGGTGTGGCGGGTCGGTGGTGTGGCTGGCCGGTGGTGTGGCGGGTAGGTGGTGGCGGGTCGGTGGTGTGGCGGGTCGGTGGTGGCGGGTCGGTGGTGTGGCGGGCGGTGGTGTGGCGGGTCGGTGGTGGCGGGTCGGTGGCGGGTCGGTGGTGTCGCGGGCCGGTGGTGAGGCGGTCGGTGGTGTGGCCCGGTGGTGTCGCGGGTCGGTGGTGTGGCGGTCGGTGGTGAGGCGGGGCCGGTGTGGCGGCCGGTGGTGAGGCGTCGGTGGTGTGGACTGGCCGATGGTGTCGCGGGTCGGTGGAGTGGCTGGCCGGTGGTGTGGCTGGTCGGTGGTGTGGCTGGTCGGTGTGGCCCGATGGTGTCGCGGGTCGGTGGAGGCTGGCCAGTGGTGAGGCGGTCGGTGGAGTGGCTAGCCGGTGGTGTGGCTGGTGGGTGGAGTAGCTGGTCGGTGGTGTGGCTGGTAGGTGGTGGCTGGTCGGTGGTGTGGCTGGTCGGTGGTGTCGCGGGTCGGTGGAGTGGCTAGCCGGTATGGCGGGCCGGTGGTGTGGCTGGTCGGTGGAGTGGCGGGTCGGTGGTGTGGCTGGTCGGTGGTGTGGCTGGTCGGAGGTGTGGCTAGTCGGTGGTGTCGCGGGTCGGTGGAGTGGCGGGCCGGTGGTCTGGCTGGCCGGTGGTGTGGCTGGTCGGTGAGTGGCTGGTCGGTGGTGTGGCGGGTCGGGTGTGGCGGGTCGGTGGTGGCGGGCCGGTGGTGGCTGGCCGGTGGTGTAATCACTGGTTACGCCAATAACATCCTGGATAACTTTACCTTCTATATGTTATAATTTATACTAGGATCATCCTCCACTCACCCAATCCCACCCGAGGCGATAGTCCAACAGAGTCCTACATAACCCCACATAGCCCACAGAGCCCTACAGAATCCCCACATAACCCCAGAACCCCACAGAATCCCCACATAGCCCCCAGAGCCCTACAGAACCCCACAGCCCCAAGAGCACCACAGACCCCACACAACCCCAGAGCCCCACAGAATCCCCACATAACCCCAGAGCCCACAGAATCCCCACAGCCCCAGAGCCCTACAGAATCCCCATAACCCCAGAGTTCACACAGAACCCCACACAGCCCCCAGGCCCAGAATCCCCACAACAACCCCAGAGCCCTCACAGAACCCCACACAGCCCCCAGAGCCTACAGAACTGCAACATAACCCCCGTACCCCACACAGAATCCCCACATAGCCCCAAGAGCACCACAAAATTCCCACATAACCCCAGAGCCCTACAGAATCCCACACAAACCCCCAGAGGCCCACAGAATCCCCACACAGCCCCCAGAGCCCTACAGAATCCCCACACAACCCCCAGAGCCCTGCAGAATCCCCCACACAGCCCCCAGAGCCCACAGGATCCCCACATAACCCCAGAACCCTACAGAATCCCCACATAGCCCCAAGACACCACAGAATTCCCACATAGCCCCCAGAGCCCTCAAGAGAATCCCCCACACAACCCCCAGAGCCCTACAGAATCCCCAGAGAGCCCCACAGAGTCTCCAACAGAGCCCCCACACCCCACAGAGAGTGACACAGTAGGTGAGCTGGACTGATTACCACTCCGGCGTGCGAGAATATGAATGGAAGATATTAAGGTGAATTTCTACTCTAGGTGACGTGAACAATTTATAGCCCGCCCAAATATTTACTGTGTGAGTTATGGGCGTTTTAATTGAGAGAGAGAGAGAGAGAGAGAGAGAGAGAGAGAGAGAAAAAAAAAAAAAAAAAAAAAAAAAAAAAAAAAAAAAAAAAAAAAAAAAAAAAAAAAAAAAAAAAAAAAAGAGAGAGAGAGAGAGAGAGAGAGAGAGAGAGAGAGAGAGAGAGAGAGAGAGAGAGAGAAATAAACACAAGAGAGAGATAGAACATGGACGCTAAAATAGAAGAAAAAACAACTGAAGCGTGTGTGTGTTGTGTGTGTGTGTGTGTGTGTGTGTGTGTGTGTGTGTGTGTGTGTGTGTGTGTGTGTGTGTGTGTGTGTGTGTGTGTGTGTGTGTGTGTGGGCCACCAAACATAACGCTGGCCACAAACATCTTGTAATACTCTGGTCTGCCTGCCATGAAAGAACTTGCTATATATCTCTCAACAATATATGTCCCTCTCTGCTATTTTTCGCTTCCAAGTTTAAATGAGGAGAGATTTTGAGGACACACACAACACACACACACAACACAAAACGTGATAAAGACTAAAGAGTAAAATAAAATAAAGTTGAAAGAAAAAATCGGCTATCGGCAGTTATTAAGAAAAGACCCTCCTCCTCCCCAACTCTCCTTCCTTCCTCCTTCAGTCCTCTTAAATTTCACCATCCTCCTCCCTGCCACGTCTATATCAATCTATAATTACTGTCCCGTGAACGAAGGCACCGAGAGAATTTTCATTGATATGCAAATCTGGCTGATGGAGGCGAGCGGCCGCTGCCTCGTCCACTCCAACTCTCATCTTTTGTGGCGGCGTCAACCATCACGGCGAGAATAATATATTATAAACAATACGCGTCAGCCGCTCAACTCTTGACCATAAATGACCATCAATTAACTCAAAATCCAAACTGGAATATTTACGAAAGCGTGACGAGAGTGCCGGCGACGTGATGAGTGTGCCGGCGACGTGACGAGGGTGCCGGCGGCACAGAGTGCCGGCGGCGTGACGAGAGTGCCGGCGGCGTGACGAGAGTGCCGGCGGCGTGACAGAAGTGCCGGCGGCGTGACGAGAAGTGCCGGCGACGTGACGAGTGCCGGCGGTGCACGAGAGTGCCGGCGGGGTGACGAGCGCAGTGGGGCGATGAGAGTGCCGCAACGTGACGAGAGTGCTGGCGGCGTGACAAGAGTGCCGGCGGCGTGACGAGAGTGCCGGCGAGGATGACGAGAGTGCCGGCGACGTGACGAGAGTGCCGGCGACGTGACGAGAGTGCCGGCGACGTGACGAGAGTACCGGCGACGTGACGAGGAGTGCCGGCGACGTGACGAGAGTGCCGGCGGGTGACGAGAGTGCCAGTGGGGCGACGAGAGTGCCGGTAACGTGACGAGAGTGCGCCGGCGGGCGACGAGAGTGCCGGTGACGTGACGGAGTGCCGGCGGCGTGACGAGAGTGCCGGCCACGTGACGAGAGTGCCGGCGGCGTGACGAGAGTGCCAGTGGCGTGACGAGAGTGCCAGTGGGGTGACGAGTGCCAGGTGGGGTGATGAGAGTGCCGGCGGTGTGACGAGAGTGCCAGTGGTGACGAGAGTGCCGGCGGCGTGACGAGAGTGCCGGCGACGTGACGAGAGTGACGGCGGAGTGACGAGAGTGCCAGTGGCGTGACGAGAGTGCCAGTGGGGTGATGAGAGTGCGGCGACGTGACGAGAGTGCCAGTGGCGTGACGAGAGTGACGGCGAGTGACGAGAGTGCCATGGCGGACGAGAGTGCCAGTGGGGTGATGAAGAGTGCCGGCGACGTGACGAGTGACGGCGGAGTGACGAGAGTCCCGGACGACGTGACGAGAGTTACGGCGGCGTGACAGAAAGTGCCAGGTGACGGAGTGCCGGCGGTGTGACAGAGAGTGCCAGTGGTGACGAGAGTGCCGGCGGCGTGACGAGAGTGCCAGTGGGTGACGAGAGTGCCGGCGGCGTGACGAGAGCAGTGGGTGACGAGAGTGCCGGCGACGTAACGAGAGTGCCAGTAGGGCAGAAAGTGCCGGCGACGTGACGAGAGTGCCGACGGCGTGACGAGAGTGCCAGTGGGGTGACGAGAGTGCCGGCGACGTAACGAGTGCCGGCGACGACGAGAGTGCCGGCGGCGTGACGAGAGTCCCAGTGGGGTGACGAGAGTGCCGGCGACGTAACGAGAGTGCCGGCGACGTGACGAGAGTGCCGGCGGCGTGACGAGAGTGCCGGCGGCGTGACGAGAGTGCCAGTGGGATGACGAGATTGACGACGACGTAACGAGAGTGCCAGTGGGGCGACGAGAGTGCCGGCGGCGTGACGAGAGTGCCGGCGACGTAACGAGAGTGCCGGCGGGGTGACGAGAGTGCCGGCGGGGTGATTTATACCTTCTGCTGGTACCCGAAAGCGGATCCTCTAATTTTCCCCCACTTATAACTGCTTATCTGATGACGTGCGTTCAATTAAGGGGTAGTTAGCTTGAGTTAGGTTAAGGGTTACGTCGAATTAAGGCAGTTAGCTTGAGTTAGGTTAAGGGTTACGTCGAATTGGGTAGTTAGCTGAGTTAGGTTATGGGTTACGTCGAATTAAGGGTAGTTAGGCTTTTAGGGTTAAGGGTTACGTCGAATTAAGGGTAGTTAGCATGAGTTAGGTTAAGGGTTACGTCGAATTAAGGGTAGCTTGAGTTAGGTTAAGGGTTACGTCGAATTAGTGGGTAAAGAAGGAGTTAGTTAAGGGTTACGCTCGAATTAAGGGTAGTTAGCTTGAGTAGGGTTAAGGCGTTATCGAATTAAGGTAGTTAGCTTGAGTTAGGTTAGGGTCACGTCGAATTAAGGTTAGCTTGAGTTAGGTTAAGGTTACGTCGAATTAAGGGGTAGTTAGCTTGAGTTAGGTTAAGGGTTACGTCGAATTAAGGAAGAAGCTTGAGTTAGGTTAAGGGTTACGTCGAATTAAGGGGTAGTTAGCTTGAGTTAGGTTAAGGGTTACGTCGAATTAAGGGGTAGTTAGCTTGAGTTAGGTTAAGGGTTACGTCGAATTAAGGCTGGGATTAATAAGTTTGGGTTAGGTTAAGTTAGGTTAAGCTTGAGTAGGGTTAAGTTAGGTTAGTGTTTGGGTTAGAATTAGGAATATTACTGTTTCATATGAGTCGTCTTCGGGGTAGGTTAGGTTAACAACAACAACAACACAACAAAACAACAAAACAAAACAACAACAACAACAACAATAATAATAATAACAATAACAATAACAATAATAATAATAATAATAATAATAATAATAATAATAATAATAATAATAATAATAATAATAATAATAATAATAATAATAACAATAATAATAAATCCCTTTTAAAACTTAGTTACAAATATATGAACAGGTCTCAGATGTGTGTGTGTGTGTGTGTGTGTGTGTGTGTGTGTGTGTGTGTGTGTGTGTGTGTGTGAGTGTGTGTGTGTGTGTCTGTGTGTGTGTGTGTGCAATACATACACACGAGAGCTAAGAGGCCACCACCACTACAACACCCTCAAAAAATATTCGTAAGTCATTATAAGTTGGGCGATGGTAGAGCCGGGGAGCACACTGCCACCCCCCTGTTGCCTCTATCATGACCTAACTAACCTTAATGACACACAAGGGGAGGGGGGAGGGTGAGGGGAGGAGGGAGGGTGAGGGGGGGGGAGGGGGAGGGGAGGAGGGTGAGGGGAGGAGGGTGAGGGAGAGGGAGGGGAGGAGGGGAGGGTGAGGGGAGGAGGGAAGGGTGGGGAGGGGGAGGAGGGGAGGGGAGGGGAGGAGGGGAGGGGTGAGGGGGGAGGGGAGGGGAGGGGGAGGAGGGGAGGGGTGGGGAGGGGGAGGAGGGAAGGTGAGGAGGAGGGAGGGGAGGGGAGGGGAGGGGAGGGAGGGGGAGGGGGGGAGGAGGGGGGAGGGGAGGGGTGGGGAGGAGGGGAGGGGAGGGGAGGGGGGAGGAGGGTGAGGGGGGGAGGAGGGGAGGAGAAGGAGGGGAGGAGGGAGGGAGGGGGAGGGGAGGAGAGGAGGGGAGGGGAGGGGAGGAGGGGAGGAGGGGAGGGAGGAGGAGGGGAGGAGGGGAGGGAGAGGGGAGGGAGGAGGGGGGAGGAGGGGGAGGGGAGGGGTGAGGGGAGGAGGGGAGGAGGAGAGGAGGAGGGGAGGAGGGGAGGAGGGGAGGAGGGAGGGAGGGTGAGGGGAGGAGGAGGAGGAGGAGGAGGAGGAGGAGGAGGAGGAGGAAGAGGAGGAGGAGAGGAAGAGGGGGGTGGGGAGGGTGAGGAGGGGAGGAAGGGAGGGAGGAGGGGAGGGTGAGGGGAGGAGGGAGGAGGTGAGGAGGAGGAGGGGAGGGAGGAGGGGAGGGGAGGGTGATGGGGAGGAGAAGGAGGAGGAGGGAGGGGGAGGAGGGGAGGAGGGGAGGGGGGAGGGGAGGGGTGGGGAGGGGGGGGAGGGGAGGGGAGGAGGAAGGGGAGGAGGGGAGGTGAGGGGGGAGGGAGGGAAGGGGTGAGGGGAGGGAGGAGGGGGAGGGAGGGGAGGAGGGGAGGGTGGGAGGGGGAGGAGGAGGGGAGGGGAGAGGGGAGGGGAGGGGTGAGGGGGAGGGAGGGGTGAGGGGAGGGAGGGGAGGAGAAGGAGGGGAGGGAGGAGGGGAGGGGAGGGGGAGGAGGAGGAGGAGGGAGGGGTGAGGGGGGAGGGGAGGAGGAGGAGGAGGAGGGGGAGGAGGGGAGGGAGAGGGAGGAGGAGGGGGGAGGAGGAGGGGAG